TGACACTCCTGCACTTGGGATAAGACATCAATTCTTTGATTGTGTCATATAGCCTAATATATCTCTATTTAGGAAAGATTCAACGCATTAATCTATGATGCGAATCCCAGCTGATTTGCAGCCAAATAATGCAAATAAGAATACTATAATATTCTTATTGATTATGTGCTTATTCTAGTTATTTCTTTCCAACATTAACATATCATCCCAGCCATCTATGTTAGGGATAAAATCCTAGCCATTAGATGATGGCTAGGTTCTTTTTTTCATGGCATTTTGCAACTATCAAAAGGTGTTGTCTTTTATGAATTAAAACTGCACAATCGTGATCTGCAACTCCAAAATGGCAACTAGTAGGAAGTTGCGGAGAAAAGGAAAGAAATCAAATGGGAAAGGTTGTGTAGAGAAAAAAAAAAGAAATCAAATGGGATAGTTGTGCTTAAAATTACCATGAACAGTACCCTGCTAATTAAATCTTATGGGGCTGTTATATGCTCTAGTCCCTGTTTTTTTATTCGAACTAAACTGATTTACCTTTCAAATTTTGAAATTTCTCTATAATTAATTCGATAAATCCTTTAGACATTAAATCAGGTCCCATGAATGAAGACTTGAAAAACTTGGGTTGGAATCCTTCTTGTAACAAGATTCTCTACTTTTCCACTAAATGTTCAAACGAGAATATCTTGAGCTTATGAAGTTGAAATCAAACAATTCAAAACCTCAAATTCATCAGCACGTATAGGACTAAAACCTCCGTGAAGAATTTAAAGTGAGATAAAATCATTTTGAAGAATAGATGAAGAATTTAAAGTGAGGTAAAATCATTTTGAAGAATAGAATTGTAACAAAACTCAACTGGAAACCATCTCATGACAGGATTCTCTACTTTCACATTAGATGTTCAAATGGGAATATCTTGATTTTTTGATATTGAAATCAAGAGATTCAAAAGTCCAAATTTATCTACACGTCCAAGACTATAACTTTGATGAAGCATTTGAAGTGAGATAAAATTGTTTAAAGATCAAAATCTAGCATCAACCTGGTTAGTCAAAAAGGATCTCCTAATCTAATTCAGAAACTGACAATGCTGAGCATCCCGATATGACTGAGAGTATGACCTAAGAACAATGATCAATAAAATTATGATGAAAGCAGAGTCTTTAGTGCAAAACTCGGGTCAGAATCCTTCTCACGGCAGAATTCTCTACTTTCACATTAGATATTCAAACGAGAATATCATAAGCTTTTGATATTAAAATCATGCGATTAAAAAGCCCACATTCATTTACACTTATAGAGCTACAACTTTTATGAAGGGTTCAAAGTGAGATAAATTCATTTTGAAGAGTAGAATCTGACAGCAATCTGGTTGTTCAAAAAACTTTTCTAATCTGATTTAGGAAACTGACAATGCCGAGCTTCCTAATTTGATTGAGAGTCTGCCATAAAAATAGTAAGCCCTAAGACCTAATAAAGGTGTAGATAAAGTTTTCAACATGTCGTGAGTGAAAAAATATAGCTGGGATGGTCAGATATCATACAAAACCA